TGGGGTGGCACAGGTGAAGCCTTTGGGTCTGGAAAATGGAGTGTTGCAGTTCAGGACACCCAAAGTTCTTCCACTGAGGTTTATCTGCTAAGTTCTATTTGTTGCACTTTAAGTACTCTCTCCGTTCCAAAATATTAGTCCCTTATTCAATTTTTCATTGTCCCAAAATATTAGTCCCTCTTCAAAAATCAAGTACAAAAATAATATAAATTTCCTATTTTGCCCTTCTTTTAAATTAATAAACAATATAAAAAGTACAATTATGACATTGATATTCCCAAAAACTGTACTATCAAAAGGGTAATTTTGAAAAATCAACTTTTTTAAAGTGCAATAATTATACTATCAAAAAAGTTGAATTCCCCACAAGGGATCATTATTTTGGGACGGAGGGAGTAAGAGTAAATGCTACAATTTTAAGAATTTCTTTTTCTTCAGAAAAGTCCTAAAATTTCAAATCAATGGTACGATTTACTTAGAGTGTGCCTCACAAAACTAACTTCAATATACACCATTGATCTGAAATTCATGACGGTGCCATAGACTTTCCGTTTTAATGAGGATGGAAATAAGGCAAATTACACATGCAGTCTCCATATTTTAGTTTCTGTCATTTTGGTTTCAGTAATTCTAATTGGCTCATTTTTTACAACAAATTTATGACTTTATCTCAATTTACTTCAATTGATTACAATTGTTAACATTTTTATATTAAAAAAAATGTGTATATGAACAACATATTTTTAAAAACAAAATTATAAATTTGATCAACTTAGTAAGTTAATCTCAACCAAATTGGGGATCATTTTCTATCAAAAATCGTAATGACATTATCGATTTGACCAAATTGACGTAAAATTTAAAATTTAGAGGCAAAATTGAGCTAATTAAAAAGAGAAAATATCATTTCACCCCCCAAACTTTCACGCATTTTTCAATTTGACCGTCAGACTTCAAGTAATATCAATGTTCCACCCAAACTTTCAAAATTTTGATTAATTTTGCTTCTGCCGTCACATTCCTTCTACAATTGGATGGAATGTGCTGATGTGGGGGGCAAATTGATTTTTAAGGTATAGTTTGGGGGGTAAAATAAAATTTCAAATGAACTTTGGTGCTACATCAGCACATTCCGTCTAATTATAGACGGAATGTGACAACAGTGGCCTAATTGATCAAAATTTTGAAAGTTTTTGTGTAAAATTAATATTAATCGAAATCCGGGGTCAAATTGAAAAACACGTGAAAATTTGGAAGGCAAAATGATATTTTCTTAATTAAAAATATAGTAATCAAAATGATGCAAAAAAATAAAATATAAAAACTATGAATGTAATTTGCCCATAAAATTATTGTAGTGTATGATTTGTTTAATCTCTGTTTTTCATCTAGATGGACCCCAGGATTCAATGTTTGCTAGCAATCCAAAGTCTCCGAAAGGAGGGGAGCTTGTGTTTTTATTTTCTTTGTTTTCCTATCATGTTAGCATTATCATTTGGAAAAGTCTATGAACTAGTAACCAGAAAATGCTCCAGAATTTGAAATGAAAGATCTAGATTTAATCTTCTTCTTGTAGAGTCACTCCATGAATGAATCAAGGCCTTATATTGCACATTTTGAGTAATTTTCTAGGTCTGTATCATGGCTTTGTGTCACAGTGGTATGCTCTCTAACTTTCATAATGGAAGTTGCAAATTCAAGCCTCATGTGAGACATTGGGTGATCCTCTTTCCTTTTTTCCTTAGATTAAATTAGTGTAAATTTTAACGAACAACTTAAGATAAAAATAAAAAGTTATAAATATATATATTTTGGGTGTATTTAACTCGCCATAAATGGCACATTTTTAAAGAGGCCATAATACATACAGGTTCATCAATTCGATTTTATGATCCTATGTGTGGGAAGGTTCAGTGGGATACCAAACATACCAGAATTTCCAGAAGGGAAGGGTCCAGAAGTGTTTGATGGGAAGGTGATACACTCAATGGAGTATGCTACCATGGATTTTGAAGCTGCTAAACAACTTATAAGAGGAAAGAGAGTCACTGTTGTTGGCTTCCAAAAACATGCTCTTGACATTGCAATGGAGTGCTCTTTACAAAATGGTGAGAGAGAGACCCACCACAAAAAAATTCTTGTTTGTGAAAAGGGATTGTGCTTGTCAATCCACACTTAATTTAAATTCATGTTTTTGTGGAATTGATTGCAGGGGTGGAAAATCCATGTACAGTGTTATACAGGAATGAACACTGGAATGTGCCTGATTACAATCCATGTGGAGTCTCACTTGCATATTTCTACTTCAATCGCTTCTCTGAACTTTTGGTTCATAAGCCTGGTGAAGGATTTTTCCTTAGTCTCCTGGCTACATTGCTTTCACCTCTGGTATAGAATCGCTCCTCAGAAAAGCTATGCATTTAAAAAAATGTCCACAAAAGTAAACTTTTATGTCTCGTAGATTCAAATTTGGTTTAGTTTCATACTACATCTAAAATGAATCTGGATAAATCTGGTTGATGCATTTTATTTTAGACACTTTCTCTAGTTTTTCTTTTTTATTTGTGAGTGCATAGTTTCCATATAAGCTAAGAGAGCAACTTGCCTCCAATTCACCTTGGTTAGCTGCAACATACAGTTGGCCTTGTGGGCTTATCGCGACCCTCATTTTGATAATTGGATTTGCTCATTTGTAAGCCTTTGTGCAGATCGTTCATGATTAAATTAGATTAATCTTATAATTGTAATCATTTATATTTTTCTTAAAAGAACATGGTAAACATGATTTTAAAAAGATTGAAGGCAAATATAGGGAAAAATCATTTTAATTAAGGAATGATGATACTGATACAAACAATAGAATCAAGAGTAATGTGGTGACAAATAGCAAATTAATTTTATTGTACGCATAGAAATATAAAAACAAACATATCGAATCATTAGAGTAGGGTCATAGTAGATTCTAAGGGTCCAACAAGAATCGAGTCCACACTGAAGCTAATATTAATTTTCTAATGTTTGGCAGAGATGGGGATTTTCAAAATTTGTTGAAACCCATATAAAACGAAAGCTTCGACTAGCAAAGTATGGAATGGTTCCCAAACACAGTTTCTTGAAAGAAATCAGTTCTTGTTTGATCTCAACCGTCCCTGAGGGCTTCTACGATGCAGTTGAGAAAGGAAGCATCATATTGAAGAAAGCTCCGAGTTTCGGATTCTGCAAACAAGGCATACTTGTTGATGGGGAAGTCGAACCTCTAAAGACAGACATGGTCACACTGGCTACTGGGTTCAGGGGACTTGACAAGCTCAAAGACATTTTTGCCTCCCAAACCTTTCAAGAACAACTAGTTGGGTCCCCTCACAAAACAGTCTCACTCTATAGGTTTGCATCTTACAACATATAGCATTTTTTAGAGAAAAATTCATTTTACCCTCAAACTACCACTCAAAAATCAATTATTCTTTTAATAATATCAATATTATACTTAAATTATTTGATTTTGTATTAATTTTAGCCCACTATCAATTACCGTCTATAATCCAACAAAAATTGCTGACATGGTACCAAAATTTCATTTTACCTCTCAAACTATTGCCAAAATATCAATTAAACTCCTCAATAAAATGAAATTTGAGGGTCTAATTGATATTTTAGAGATAGTTTAGGAGATGAAATGAAATTTCAAACGAAATTTTCATACCATATCAACATCCTCGGTATTAAATTGTGTCAATCTAATCCCTAATGTATGAAAAGTATTGCTCCTTTTTAACTTTTTTTTTAAAAAAAAAATTACTCCTCAAATTCCAAATTAAAACACAAATTAAATGTCACATCATATGTATGATATTTTTTTCGGCCACAGTTTATTAATACCAACTTGTTATTTTCAACAGGGAATGCATTCATCCCAGGATTCCACAGCTAGCCATAATTGGATTCTCAGAGAGCATTTCAAACCTTCACACCTCTGAGATGAGGTGCCGGTGGCTAGCAGAGCTGCTTGCCGGCACGTTCAAGCTCCCCGACATCAAAGACATGGAGAAAGACATAACAAAATGGGACCGATACATGAAAAAATACTCGGGCGAGTACTACCGGAGATCATGCATAGGGGCTCTTCATATATGGTACAATGATCAACTCTGCAAGGACATGGGTTGGAAGCCAAAGAGGAAGAAGGGGTTCATTGCTGAGTTGTTTGAGCCCTATGTCCCCATGGATTATGCTCATCCTTAGAGATTGAGATGTACTGAAAATGGGTTCGGTTTCATGATTGTTTTGTGTATGTGTTTGTAATTTGATGATATTTGAAGCCTGTAGTGAAACTGAGAACAAAGTTGGTTGTGAATACTCTCTGATGATGTATACCAGCTGTTGTGTTTGAATAAAGTTGGACAACTTGGATGTTCTGTTTCTTTAGCTATATTCCGACTGTGGATGTGTTAATTAGGAGTTCATTTTTGTTCATACATTTTGAAAATACACGTGAAAATATGGCACAAGTTAGTTATGTGCGTATTTTTTATATAAAAAAAAGTTTACAGTTATAATAAATTGAATAAAATTTAGATAAAATTATAAATTTAGAATAAAAATCGAACCAATTAAAATTATAATGACTAAAATAATATAGCGTAATTTGTCTCTAAAATTTTGACATATACATGGTGGACTATAAATTTAAGAAGAATTTTTTTTAGGAGAGCGAAAACATCATCACAACCGAACCTTTGAGAAGGATGCTTGAACCTATCTTACATAATTTTTTTTTTTTTTTTCATAAAATAAATTAATTTAAGTCTTTTTTCTAAAAGTTAAAAGAAAAAAAATTATGTTCACTGAGTTGACTTGAGCCTACTTTTGCGCAATCCCATTTTCTTAGTCAGCTTTGTCCATACTCCATGCCTACCCTCACCTCCTCCACCACACATGCACTTCTTTCATTTTCTTGACTTTTTTCTCATCTACTATATTGCAACAAATTATCTAACCAACCCGGCCTTTACTTTCCTCCCTCTTTCTTCTTCCTATTCCTCTTCTATCATTGTTAATCTTTTGAAAGAAAGTTCTCAAATCCAAAATGAAACCACCATTCATTGCCAATTTAAACAGGTAATCTTGAAAAACTACATGAAACCCATGCAAATTTTTATTTTTATTTTCTTTTCATTATGTGATTGAGTGAGTAACTATATATATTTCTTCGTTTATGATTTTTTTTTTTTTTGGCAGTTGAAAAGATCTTTTAAAGCTTTGTTAATGGCTACATCTCAGTTGACTTACCATGTGTTCTTGAGTAGAGGTGATGACACTCGTTGGACCTTCTCCGATCACCTCTATACAGCTTTGTTTGGTTCAGGTTTTCGCACTTTCGTAGAAGACGATGATGATGAACTAATACAGAGAGGTGTCAATACTAGTAAGTTAGAGTTGAAGAGAGCATTAATCAAACAATCAAGGAGTTCGATAATTGTGTTCTCCAAAGACTACGTTTATTCAGATTCGTGTCTTGACGAGCTTGTAATGATCCTCGAGCACAAGAGGGAATCTAAACATGTAGTTTTACCAGTCTTTTATGATTTGGATCCGTCCCATGTGAGGAAGCAAATGGGGATTGTTGAAGAAGCATTTTCCATGCATGAAGCTCGAGTTGATGCGGGAAGCGATGAGAGAAAAAATAAATATGAATCGGATAAGGTAGAAGGGTGGAGGGCAGCACTCAGAGAAGTTGCAGATCTAGGAGGTTTGGTCCTACAAAATCAAGCTGATGGGTAAATTTCCTATTTTTGTTACTTAGGCAACAAGCATAAATGCTTTTCTTTAAAATTGTTAGACAGTTTTTTATGAAATGCCATTTTACTTCTACAACAATGAACAAGGCCTTAGAAGTTAGAACAAGAACCTCGATCGGATTTCTCCTCTGCAACTCATGTGCTCCGCTTGAGTGGGATTCGAGTGAGGCCCTCAGAATTTTGGCTCTTGCTCCTATTTTTCTTGTGTTTTCAAACACAAAACCATCCAAGAATGATAAATCATTAAATAGGTACTTATTTTGAAATTTAAAACATGTGTCCAAACACTGATACAATAAGCTCATATATACCTATGCGAGATTGTGAGTATGGAGCAATGATTTTATTGGCTTCTTGTTAATCTTCAAAATCACAACACTGAGGCCTCGTTTGGGAACATGCTAATTTAGTAACTTTTTGGCTACTTGGCTAAAAAGGTAGGTAAAAAAAACTTGTATATTTGGGATGACTTTTTGGCTAATTACGAAAAGATGTGCAAAAAATAGAGAGAAAAGAGAATCTTTTTTGAAAAATAATTGAAAAAAAAATTTTTTTTTTTTTTTTTTTTTTTGTTGAACAATATATATATATATATATTTTTAAAGACAAGCACAGGAGGATTTTGTAAAAGTTTTGATAGGAAAATGTATGGATCAAAATCAAATACTTGCATCCTTTTTCTGATCTATAATAAAATTACAAATGAAGTGCCTCTTGCTACCTAGGGTGATGCAGGAAGTGTAAATCTGATAATTGAACAATAAGAACAATCACAAATAAGAGAATTCTCTTTTAGGTTGTTTTTGAATTACGAATTTGATAGCGATTTGAAAAAGAAAAACAAAGTATGGATAAATGTGTTTGGATCATGAATTTAGATAGGAAAAAAAATAAGTGAAATATAATTAAATAATCCACCTAAATCCATAATGCGCAGACAACATTAAAGAAATATTATAAATCATCAACTACATAGCCATAAGGCTAATATTGTGGTTGAGTTGGAAACTATGTTTGCCATGTACTCTTGTGTCCTATTTTGCTTTGGTGAGCGCAATTGCCGAACCACGTAAACTCTGTGTTTCTCTCTTGTGTGTATTTGTTTACATCAATCTAGGCTTCCTGACCCAACAGTTCCATCATTCAATCTTTCATTTTGATCAAGTGCATGTGCATGCTCCATGCTTATTGCACATATGGCACACTCTAGCTTTGTATAAATGCAATCCACCCATGCCAACTTCCTTCTTGTTCCTTCCAAAGATCATCTTATTAGTTGCTTTTGGTCACATTTTAGTAATGACACACTCAGATAATTGTTTCCATTTTGTTCACAATTTGTAGGTACGAGTCAAAGTTTATCAAGATAATTGTTCAAGAGATTGCAAACAAATTGGATCGAACAGTATTGAGCATCACCCCCTACCCAACTGGAATAGATTCTCGTGTGAATGACATTAATTTGTGGCTTCAAGATGGCTCAAACAATATTGGCATAATGGTTATTTATGGAATGGGTGGAATAGGGAAGACAACCCTTGCCAAAATTGCTTATAACCAAAACTTTGACAGATTTGAAAGTAGCAGTTTTCTTGCAGATATTAGAGAATCTTCAACACAACCCAATGGTTTGCTTCGTCTACAAAAACAACTTCTTTCAAACATTCTCAAGCGGAAAAAGGAAAGGATACACAATGTTGATGAGGGAATCATTAAGATTAAAGATGCAATGTGCTGTAAAAGAGTTCTTGTTGTTCTTGACGATGTTGATGAACTGGACCAATTAAATGCAATACTTGGGATGCGAGATTGGCTTCTTCCAGGAAGTAAAATTATCATAACAACCAGACGGGAGCGAATCTTAAAGGCTCATGAACGGTGTGAGATGTACAAAGTTAAGGAATTGAGTGACGTTGAAGCACTTTGTCTCTTCTGTCGGCATGCTTTTGGACAAGACCATCCTGTTGAACCTTACGTCGAGCAGTCCAAAAAGGCAACATACTACTGCAATGGTCTTCCATTAGCTCTGGAAGTCTTGGGTTGTTCTCTCTCTGGTGAAAATGTTGATGTATGGGAAAGTGCATTGACAAAGTTGGGAAGATTTTCAAATGTCAAATTACACAATGTACTTCAAATAAGCTATGATTGTTTGGATGATCATGACAAAGATTTATTCCTTGATATTGTTTGTTTCTTTGCATGGAAAGGCAAAGATCACATGGTTAAAATACTAGATGGATGTGACTTCCACACAACAGTTGGAGTACAAAATCTCATTCGTAGATGTCTTGTAGGGATTAATGAGGTTGACAACAATACTCTCATAATGCATCAATTGCTAAGAGACATGGGTAGGGAAATTATTCGCCAAGAATCACCAAAGGAACCTGGAAGGCGTAGTAGAGTATGGCATCACAAGGATGCTTTCAACGTATTGAACGAAAATACTGTAAGAAATTGTGATTCACAAGCAGATCTTTATATGTTTAATTTTTTTAAGAAAGAGAAATAAGTGTGTGGACTTACATAATTGTGCACAACCCTTGTCTTTGTTTTGTGTATGTAGCACAACTTGTGTTTTTTTCTTTTAATGTGGTGATTACTTATTTGGTTCTTTTCTTATCAGGGAACAGAAGCAATTGAAGGCCTTATCCTGGACTTGCAAGAACAGAAGGAAGAAATGAGAGTCAAGAAAATAACTAATCCAAAACTTCGCCATATAGCACATCTACTTTGTGAACGTAGATCATCAAAGCGTCGCCGTCTTGGTTGGCTTCCTATAAATTATGCCTCAACAGGACAACCTTCAGAATTAGGTGAATTGGATTTAAACACTGATGCATTTTCACAAATGCACAAGCTACGGATACTCCAACTCTATGATGTACATCTTAGTGGAGGCTATGATGAATTTCCTAAGAAATTAAGATGGTTGTGTTGGCATGGATTCCCTTTAACAGTTATACCTGATGATTTTCCTCTAGAGAACATGGTTGTTCTTGAATTTTCCAATAGCAGCTTGAAACAATTTTGGAAGGGAAGCAAGGTATGATTAGTTGGTTTTTTCTTTTTTTTAAGGATATAAATTTTATAGTCCTTCCTTGAGTAATGAAGAAAGTATAACTAAACTTAAGGTTTTGAGATGATTATACTGGCACCTCTACCATGTTAAGATTGTTAACAGATTACGCAAATTGATAATTTTACCCTCAGATATTATTTCATCACTGGATTGTCAAAAATCAAATAACCCTTTCTTTTATCATATTTCCTCTCAACAATGATATGAACCCTAAACAAGTGCACAAAAAATGTTCAGAAAATGAAATACGTAAAAATTCATTTTGGGTGTGCCTTCACACCACACTAAAGTTAAATATATATATAACAAACTTCATTTATTGGACACTTTTTTAAGGTTTGTTGTTTTTTGATTTTCTTATTACTATCTTTTTGGAATTATAGTTACTACTGAATAATAACACATACCAATTTGCTACTTTTTGTTGGTAGTTGCTCGAACAATTGAAAATCCTCAATCTCACTCGTTCCTACGACCTTACTAGTTCCCCTGATTTCTCAAAGCTTCCTAATCTTGAGAGGTTGATTCTTAAAGATTGTATCAAGTTGGTTGAGGTTCATGAGTCCATTGTGGAGCTAGGGAGACTAGTTTTGTTGAATCTAAAAGGCTGCAAAAATCTTAAGAAGCTCCCAAGGAAAATTTCTCAGCTTAATACCCTTGAAAAACTTAATATTTCGGGTTGTTCAAAGCTTGATGAGTTGCCTACAGATTTGGGCGAGATGAATTCTTTGAGAGAGTTTCAAGCCGATGGAGTAAACATGTTGTCCACAACCACGGAAGAGGTTAAGTCATGGCAAGCAGTTGTCAAGTCTTGGGTGTCAAAACCAAGTAAAAGACCTGTATTTTCATTGGCTTCTTTACCAAAATTTGTAGTATATTTAAGCCTTGAAGATTGCAATCTAACCGACAATACATTTCCTAAGGATCTTAGTAGCATGCCTTTGTTGCAAGGATTGAGACTCAGCAGAAATCCAATCTGTAACTTACCAGAATGCATAAAAAATCTTAGTGCGCTCATGGAACTTGATTTACAGCGCTGCACGAAGCTCCAAGCACTTCCAGAGCTCCCAATGAGTTTATTGGGAATGACAATATATGGATGCAAGTCACTGGAAAGGGTAACAAATCTACCAAACCTGTTGAATTCACTGATGCTGAGCACATATGGTTGTGTAAAACTAGTTGAGGTTGAGGGAATGTTCAAGTTGGAATCCATTGATAAAATTGATTCAGAAATTATGGACAACTTGGGCTTGTCTCAGTTGGAATCCATGGACTGCCTTGACATGAAATTGCTCAGTAATCTTACATTCACAAAAAGGAAAGTTCAAGAACTCCAGGTGCTCTCTCTGTCTCTGTCTCTCTCCGTCTGTCATTTGCATGTCAAAAATTCTAGGTGAAAGAGAATTAAAACATTAAAAAAAAAGTGAAAAAAAAAGTACATTATGTGGGAAAAACTTATTTTAGGAAAAAAATCTACATTTTTACCCCTTGTATCATTTTGGTTATTACATTTTCAATTAGCTTAATTTTAGTTATTAATTTTAGATTTTGTGTTAATTTGATTCAATTGACAATATCATTAGAGTTTTTTTTTTTATTTATAAAAATGAACTTTGAATTGGTTGATGTTAACTTACTAAATTAATCGAATTTATAGTGTTGCTCCTAAAAGCATGACACAAACCACTCGTGTGCATTTTTTATAAAATCATGTTACCAATTGTAATCAATTGGACCAAATTGAAATAATAATAAAAAATTCGAGGTCAAAATCAAGTAAATTAAAATAACATAAGGGTCAAAATATAGAGACTATTGGTATGAGAAATATATGATGTATATATGCTATCTTGACAGAAATATGCTCTATATATATGTTTTTTTGTGATAGTCATGCAACATTTATGTTTAACTGGATTTAGTAACAGTTAGAATTGTGGATTCCATCCTATAGGTACTATATGAATGCGGTATATACAGCATATTCCTTCCAGGGAATGCGGTCCCAAGCTGGTTCAACAATAAGAGTACGGGTCCGCGATATCTTTTCATGTGCCTTGGCTTCCCAATCTCAAGACTTGGGGCTTGAAAATATGCATTTGCTATGCAGTTGCTTTGGATTTCAAGAAGGCAACATGGATGAATGGATGTATTATAGTCAGCAATAAGACCAAGGGTAAAAAATGGACCTATAGGCCAGCATTCATAGGCATTGCAGAAGAAGGCAAAGATATTCTATGGTTGAGTGATTGGAAGAGTGGGAATCAGCTAATGGAACGTGGCGATGAGGTGACTGTGTCGGTGAACATGGAAGAATATTATCAAGTGAAGGAATTTGGAATTCGAATTGGGTGCAATGAGCAAGAAAATGAGCGAGAGGATGGTACCCAACACGGGAATGGCATTGATTTGTCAGTGTATCGAATGAGAGAAGGCCAATATTTTCTTTGCAATCATGAAGACTTTGTTAGGTCCAGTTGCTACTCGAGGATAGCTGCAGGGTCGCGGTTGGACTTAGTTGAAACATGTTTGTGTGGATTCCAGTGTGAGAAACATGCAAAGCAGTAGTACTGACAAAATAAAAATAAAGGTTATTCTTGATTTTTGAGGGTTACTATAAGTTGTATTATTTTTACATCAGAATGTTTCATTTGGAGGTTTTGCACTAAAGATATTAGTACTACACAAAAATAGCTATTTGGTCCCTCTAGTTGGAGGTTGATGTTGCTTCTCCATTTGACATTGTCATTGATTTGGGCTGTTAAAAGTTCATAAAATTTTGTATTTCTATTGCAAAAATATTCATCATGTTTAGTTGAGTGTAAAAAAAAACTAAAAACTAAATTGCTAAAAAATTGAAAAAAATAAAGAACATTCAAAATTTTCTTTTGATTTACATTTTTTTGGGGAAAAAACAATTTTTATATATTGAATTTTTTTTTTATGTTTATTTTTGTTAAATTAGTTTCAATTTAGTAATAAAAAATAAAAAAAAACAAATTTTAAAAATTCAACCAAATTATCTTTTGGGGGAAGGAGAGCTGGTTGCTCATTTCTATGCTGGATGAATGAGATTCTAATCATTTTTGCCCTTATTTTTGCCATTCCCCAACGCCCCCGCCCCCCAATGTTTAGATAACATCAATTTATTTATTTATAATTTTTATAAAATTTTTACTTTAACATTGATAACATCAATTTATTTATTTATAATTTTTATAAAATTTTTACTTTGAAAGCTCAAAATTAGCTGAACATTGTGGTGTGTTTTATTAGTGAGATTATAGTATAGAATTGAGATTGTTAATCCATAGATTCACAATCCCATATTTGATTGCAAAATTTATTAATCAGATTATATATACAACAAACATTTAATCAGATGAAATTGATGAATTTTTAATATTAAGGCGGGTTGTAGTCATAATTTCCAATATAAAAAATAAAGTAAAATAAATGCATAATAAAAGATTATTTCACTAATTTAATTAGATAATTAATTCTACACTAATTTATAAACTTGGTTTGGGTTTTCTAAAAATACTTTTCAGAAAATTTTATTTTCTTATTATCTATATTTTTTGTTTTTACTGATTTTTTAAAAAAAATATTTTAAGCAATTTTTTTAATTTTTAGACACGCCTAACATAAATACACTTGAAAAGTATAATTTTCGTGAAATTTTTTTTTAAAAAATTCACTAAATACCAAAAATATAAAAAAAAATTATGAAAATTCAATATATTTTTCTTATTTTTGTGTATTTATTAATTTTTTGAAATATTTTTTCACAAATATTTTACTTTTTGCATACATCTAAGTAAAGTGTAACTAAAAAAGTAAAAAAAATATTAAAATTTTAAAAATTACTAAAAACAATAAAAATACAAAAAATAAAAAACTCAATTTTTAAAAAACTGAATTCAAAAAACTGAAATCAAACACACGGATTAATCTTTTAACAATTAATTCTGTTAATCAACATTCGATGTTAAAAAAACTAAAAAGATTAGAGCAATTTATATCTTCCACAACCGTAAGAATTATCATCAAATCTATGGTACAATTTTATTTTTTTTTAATATATGATTTTCGATTATAAAAAAAATGTCAAGGTAAAGTGTTAAAAGCGGTGTTTGGTATGAATTTTGGAAATTGACAGTAGGAAAATGCAATATGTATCCTTTCATAAAAATTAGAGTTAATTACCAAAAAGTCATGTCTACATATTTGGTGTAGCTTAGGTCCTGTTAAAAAGTTTTTGAACCAATGAGTCCTAGGTAAAAAGACGTTTTGCCCTTTAATCCCAAAACTGAGAATGTTCTCAATTTCAAAATTGAGAATGTTCTCAATTTTCAAACAGAGAATGATTTCAGTATATAATTATCAAAATTAAAAAATTTCTGTTTGGCTTCTGAGAAAAGTATGGGATTGAAAAGAAAGATAATTCTGTGAATACTCTAAGAAATTTATAATTATCAATTTTGAGAAATTTTTTAATTTTTTCATGATTAAAATTGAGAATATTATAAACTGAGAAGGTTCTCAATTTTAAAAAACTCTCTCTCTCTCTGTGCAATCTGTCTTAATCTCCTAATTGGTTCTCTCGCCTCACCAGTCTCTGCTGCCTCAAGTTTCTCTTCATCAACCCCATTGATGGTAGGCGAAAGTGTACCTCACGACAACACTCAAAGTTAACCCCCTCAAAACAACAACAACGACAACAACGGATACGCTGAAATGGAGGAGGATTCTGAGAATGATGATGACATTCTCATCCCTAATATACTTATGAGTGAAGACATAATGAAGGGGTTTCACGAGCTCAGTAGAGGCTATCCTAGTTGTACTGGTTTGGATTCGAGGTATGACATCGGCGGCAAGCTTTCGACTCGATTTCCGGCTCCATGAACACCTCCTCCGCCGCCAAATCCACCTCTTCCGCCGATGGAGGTGGTTGTTGAGGGCCGCTAATGTCGGGAGGCTTGTATTTTCCAGAGTTCGTATCTGTAGGCACCATATCTGTAGGCACGACTGTAAGCTACCACCTCTTCCGCCGATGGAGGTGGTTGTTGAGGGCCGCTAATGTCGGTTCACCTCCCGTCTCTTCACCTCCGCCGCCGCTGCCGCCACAAGCGGCTGTTGAAGCAGAACACGACAAAGATGATGAGGAGGAGGTGGTGGAGAAGTCAGATCTGATGATCTCTCAGGCTATCTCACCAGACACGATTCACTCATTGTAATTGCGTAGAACTTCAAATTGCAATTGTGAAGAGAGAGAGAATGAAGACAGCAATGATGTTTGGCAGCTATGAGGGGGTCTTGTAAGGATAAATTAGGGTATTAAAAATTAATGGGACTTGAAGGAGCAAATGATTTTATTTAGGACTTAATGGAGTATAAGTTCACAAAATGGGACTTGTATGTAAATGCTCCTAAAAATTATAATTTTATTATAAAATTTTGTAATATTAATAATAAAAATGCGTAATTTCATCACAAATTAACGTAACAAAAACTATCATAACTAAGCCACAAACCTTTGTACCATATACCATATGATTTCTATTAATGGCAATGGTGGAGCTGGAAATTTAACGTATGATCAAAAATTGAATCTTCTTGGTGAATTTTTTTAACAATTGAGTAGAAGTATAATATATGAGTATGATAACCAAAACTTACTGCCCATGAACACTTGCCCAGTACAATTTAGCACTTGCCCAGTACAATTTAGCATGGTTTGTAGCTAGTAAACTCAAAGTGGTCCAGTTCTCAGTCCCACGCTCGAAAGAACACATGGGAAGTTAGTGGGAACCAAATAAGGACAAACAAATTTATGATTAATTAGTCCAACACTATCAACTCAACTAATGGAAAGAAATAATCAACTAACAAACTCTATAATAAAAAATAACTTATCAATTAATTCAATTCTTGCCTTAAATTGTCAACTAAGAGTGTATAAGAATGAGCAAGAGAATAAAATAAAACATTTTTTAAAATTTTAACAATATAAGAAATTTTATATGATTAATGGAGAGACATTATTATAATTTTATTAAAGATAAATAATATATATAATTTTTATGTATAGGTATAACAGTACGATGGTCAAAACTTTATGGGGCACCTGGACCTCTCATCCTTAGCTGGCTGCGTCGTCGCTACTTAACGGTATTGTAAAACTTATTAGGAGCATATGGTTTCATTTGGCGAGCGATGATTTTAGTTAAAAAGTCGAAAAATTATTAAAAAAAATTAAAAAGTTAATAATTTATACTAAAAAGTTAAAGATTTTATTTTCTCTCTATTTTTTTTACATATTTTTGTAAAAAATCAAAAAGTCATCACAAACATACTAGTTTTTTTATATTATATTTTAATCAAAAAAATCAAAAAATTACTAAAAAATCATGTTCCCAAACAAAACCTATATGCGAATTGCGGAAAACATTGTATTTTTTTTTCTTAAAAAATTATAAGACCACTAAAAAAAAAGGAAATTAATTTATAAAACAGCCTTAAATTCACAAAATTAAAATTTTATTTTATTTTTTTAATTTCTCAAATCTATAATATAGTACACACTTTTTCTTGGATGGTGGTTGTTAGAATTGAGTAAAGAATTCGAAAACTCGCAATCTGAATTGGTCTAATCTAATCCGGTAGGTGTAAATTATTTTTTGAATCTGTGATTCGGTTTTAGATTAGAAAATTGAGAATCTATTCTCTACGGATTGGTTTTGAATTGGAGTTTACAGTTCCGGATTATAACCAATCAAAATCATATGTGACTTAAATCATATACCTATAATAGTCTCTAATATATACAATCTTACCCTCTTATATTGTCACGCCCCAAGCTTCGTGACAACGCCGCACACTCATATAAGTGAGCATGCAAGGCTAAGAATCCAATCACATAACCCACAATGTAAAATACTCAAATTAAATCCTTAATTGTCATAATGCCAAAATCCATAAAAATAAATAGTTCTTATATGAAAATGTCCACCAAGTCCACTAATTTAATCCACTAACAAAACAATAATCCAAGTACTTAAATCATGGTCGACACTCCCACATGTAAAAAATCCCGCGCAGCTCTACTCTTCAGAATCTGAAAAAAAAATAAGGGTAAGCTAGATAACCTAGTAAATAACCAACTGGATCAAGTATACAAAAATAAATAAATAAATCAGTAACCAACAAATATAATGTTTTCTACAGTTCAATAAATGAACAATTATTTGTAAGGTGGTTTCATAGCTAAAAATAAACAATGTACAATACATTTTAAATGAAAAGCCAATGTGATAATTCAAAGTAATTTGTTGTTCAAATCGATGGTTTGATATTCAGATAGTTCAATGATTTGATTCATAAAATCCAAGTCCTAATGACTACGGTCGCTTAACCCGTGACAAGACCCAGAACCACACATAGGTCGGTGGTAAAGCCCCAAAAGAAACTAGTTTCTGTGCCAATAAATAACCCCCATTGGCTAGAGTCCAAATCATAGTCAGACTAGAGTGATGTTCAAATATTTAAACAATACACAACTTTAAAATAAAATATTCAATATTTTCAGAATAAACATTTGGTACAATTTTCAGAATAGTTTCACAAAATATTCAAATAACTTTCATAATAATATTCGATGTTGTTTTATACTTGACCCATATTTTATTTTAAGAGAACATGAATGCTATAAATAAATATTTATAATTTTAATCGATTCAATAGGAATAAAAATGAACTAACAGTGATAGAAGGTTACTTACCTCAAACGCTTAAAAAAAATAATATTCCAACACCAACTCCAAACACTCAGCTCCACCACTTTAATCACACAAACCTAATAATTAGAACCTTAAATAAATTAATATTTTTGTATCTTTCACACATCCACAAAACCCACTGTATGTATGAAAAGCTCAAGAAATACCAAATCAATTCTCCAAATTAATAGTCAAACACACCTTATCTAATATACCAAACTCTATTGTCAAAACTACATACTTTTATCATCAACCTACACAACGCACTATACACGTTGAACCCTATAACCATTAGGCATCCCCAGAAGTTTTCTTTTCCATTCCCTTTTCTTTGCCTATTGATCTATCATATAATAAACAATGGTGTAAAGAAAAAGTATCTTGATCAATGAGCATCAAGAATGCTCCCCACAATTCCCCACCGCCACTTCCAGCGAACTCTCTGCGCAATTGATAACAAAAAAAATATAAAACCCTTTTTTCCTTTTTAAAAAAAGGGTTGAAACCTAATTCTTAATATTACTAAATTACTCATACAATTTATTTTAATTATTAATCTATCCAAAATAATTTTAAAAATAACGTGGGTTTCACATATATATTGTGTTTGTTTAAATTAATAGTAAAATAATATACATATTTATATTTCAAAAAATATGAGCAAATTAATGTTAAAATAAAAATATTATATAATTTTTCTTTGTGAACAAATTATATAAAATCATAATTTCAAATCAAATCAAACCGTATTTAAATAATTTAGTTCGAATTAATTTCATAATTTAAAAATATTAATTTACCACCAATTTTTATAAAACTACAGACAACGAATTGTTAGTGAAATTATCATTCCATAATTTAAAAATATTAATTTACCTCCAATTTTTATAAAATTATAAACAGCAAATTATTGGTGATTGCGTCTCTATAATGCTCTCCTATTGCGACGCGTGAAGCCCCCTTTCTACGAAGCTCTAACTGTTGTCCCTGTATTTCCTCCCCTGTTTCTCTGTAAACCCATGTTGATTCTGTGCTCGTACTTCTCTGGCTTTGATAAAGCTTTACACTCAAACTCAAAAGACTCCAATTTGGGAATTCATAATTCATCTCCATTAATCTCCCAAACCTGTCTTCAATGGCTTCCGAACCCTCCTCTTCAATCTCCCGATACGCTTTCCACGTTTTCATCAGTTTCAGAGGCGAAGACACTCGCAAGAACTTCACCGATCACCTCTACACTGCCTTAGTCGGCGCTGGTTTGCGCACTTTTCGAGACGATGATGAGATCGAAAGAGGCGAAAACATCAAATCAGAGCTCGAGAGAGCGATCAAACAGTCGAGGAGTTCGGTCATTGTGTTGTCCAAAGACTACGCTTCTTCCGGCTGGTGCCTCGATGAGCTTGTGATGATTGTTGAACAAAGGAGGACCGTTGGGCACGTGATTTTACCGGTTTTTTATGATGTTGATCCGTCGAATGTTCGGAAGCAAACTGGGACTCTTGCTGAAGCATTTGAGAGGCATGAGGCAAAATTCAGGGTGGAAATTGATGAAAGAAAGAGGAAACAAGGGATGGAGAAGATGGGATTGTGGAGGAAAGCACTTGGAGAAGTTGCTGATTTGGGAGGTATGGTCTTGCAAAATCAAGCTGACAGGTAATTTTTCTCCTTTAATTTCTTGCTTTGGTATGATCAAACTTGTAATGCTTGTTTCAAATGTTCTAAGAAGTTATGTAGAAATGTAACAGTGTGAAGCTGAATTTGGGTGCTTATGCATAATCAGGACTTGAATGATAAATGGGGAATACTACTCTATCTGTATATTAATTGCAGCATTTTTTTTTTCTTTTTGTTGTTGATAACTCGGTATCCGGCCCATTGGACCGAGGATCAATCCCACCGTCCGCTTACCGGGGGTTTCTGATTAAAGCCAGGGCTTTGCCCTGTATGGATTGTTTGCACCTAGGAGGTTTCGACTGAGACCTTGGAGGGAGCACACCCCCAGGCCCTAAGCCTTGTCCACTAGGCCAACCCCTTGAGGTTTATGTAACTGCAACATTGCATGAAGAGTTTAAATGGTATGAGAGAAATAGGCATTGGGATCTTGCTTTGGGTGCTAAACAATTTTTTTTTCTTCTTTTTCTCTTTTAAAAGTTTCACAAGATGATGGAATTTGTTGATTTAAAACAACCCGAGTACACAAAAGACCAGAGGGCATATCTTTTGAAGTTAAATTCTAGATCAGTTTTAGAAGTTAAATTCTGTGGTTTTTAAATTCGGAGTTATTACTCTAGTTAGAGTAGAAGTTGTTCTAAAGTTTATATAAAGATATGAGCTTCATATGATTTGGTAGAGAATTAGTTTTGCATGAATTTCTTCAGTGGTTATGTTCATGGAAGATTGTGTTGTGGAATGCCTACGAGATTGTTCCATTGATTGCTGGAGTTTTTTTGTTTTCTTGTTTTTGTTGTTTAATCATTTCACTTAAAAGAAGTCAAAATTTGTAGAACTATCATTCTCGGATCTTGTTCACTGCACACAAAATAACCTAAAACCTTTGTTTCCACTTTGTAACCAACCTTCCATATCCTGAAGCCTGTCTTACAGCCATTACAAACCCCTAAAATCTTATAGCACTTTACCCCTAACATTTCGCCAATCCAAATGCTAAAATTCCTGGAAGACCATTCTGGTGCAGTTATAGGGTTAAATTAACCATGGAGACCTTTTAAAAAGAAAAGAAAAGTTTGTTCCCAGCGCACAAGGCTCCCACTTCTTGTAGGTTTTGGGAGAGGTAGTAGGCAGACAACCTTCCCTCCACCTTTTATGATGTATAATTTACTCTCTTAATTATAATAATCCCCAAAATTATCATCTCATCTCAATTCATGACATGCTTAATTTGGTTATTTTCTATTTTGAACGCAATGTGCAGGCATGAGTCAAAGTTTATCCAAATAATTGTTCAGGAGGTTGTGAGTAAATTGGATTTCACGGTCTTAAGTGTTACCCCCTATCAAACTGGAATAGATTCTCGTGTAAAAGACATTAATCTGTGGTTCCAAGGTGGATTGAACAATGTCAGCATAATGGTGATCTGTGGGATGGGTGGAATAGGGAAGACAACCATTGCAAAAATTGTTTATAACCAAAACTTCGACAAATTTGAAGGTAGCAGTTTTCTTGCGCATATTAGAGAAACCGCAAAACAACCTAATGGTTTGGTTCGTCTGCAAAGACAACTTGTTTCAGATATTCTGAAGTGGAATAAGGAAAGAATATACTGTGTTGCTGAGGGAATCAATAAGATTAAAGATGCTATGTGCTGTAAAAGAGTTCTAGTTGTTCTTGATGATGTTGATGATTTGGACCAAGTAAATGCATTATTGGGGATGCGAGATTGGCTTCATCCAGGAAGTAAGATTATGATAACTACTAGACATGTGCAATTGCTAAAGGCTGATGAAGTGTACAAGTCGTATGTGGTTAAGGAATTGAATGATGATGAAGCACTTTGTCTCTTCAGCCGGCATGCCTTTGGACAAGACAAACCTATTGAAGCTTACATGGAGCACTCAAAAAGGGTAATCCACCATTGTGGTGGCCTTCCACTAGCTCTGGAAGCCTTGGGCTCTTCTCTGTCTGGCGAAACTATTGATGTATGGGAAAGTGCATTAGCAAAATTAAGAACACATTTTCCCGAGAAAATTCATAATGTGCTTAAAATAAGTTATGATTCTTTAGATGATCATGAGAAAAATTTATTCCTTGATATTGCTTGTTTCTTTGTTGGAAAGGACAAAGATTACACAGTTAAAATACTAGAGGAATGTGATTTCTCCATAACAATTGGTATTCAAAATCTCACTCGTAGAGGTCTCATAGAAGTTAATAAAGATGACAACAAGCTGATAATGCACCAAGTGCTTAGAGACATGGGTAGGGAAATTGTTCGCCGGGAATCACAGAAGGAACCTGGAAAGCGCAGCAGAGTGTGGTGTCATAAGGATGCCTTCAATGTGTTGAGGGATAAAACTGTAAGAATTATGCTTCTCTCTCTCTCTCTCCCTCTCTCTCTTCATTGTAGTGACTATTTTTCCAATTTTTCTTTATCAGGGAATAGCAACAATTGAAGGCCTTAGTCTCAACTTAGAAGATATTCCAGCCAAGAGTGCAAGCGGTGCACAATCCCAAAATGAAGATTTTCTTGCAGAACATACAATGTTTAATGAAGGCAATTCATTGAAGCGGCGTCGCCGAGGCTTATTCTCTTTTCTCCGTGTTATTCCTGCCTTCACAGAATCATTTTCAGAATTAGATGAAGATGATTTGAAAACTGATGCATTTTCACAGATGCACAATTTAAGACTACTTCAGCTTAATAATGTAAGACTCAGTGGCGGATACCAAAAATTTCCTAAGAAGTTAAGATGGTTGTGTTGGCATGGATTCCCTTTAAAATCTATACCAAATGATTTTACTTTGGATAGCCTGGTTGTCCTTGAGATGCAAAATAGTCGCTTGGAACAACTCTGGAAGAGAACTAAGGTATGATTCAATTTTTTTATCCTGTTTTCTGTTGATTTTATTATTATTATTATTTTTTTTTTTTGGGGATCCATGTGAATTCTTGTAGTGACATATTTCTTACTTTTTTATGACAGTCGCTCAGATCATTGAAAATCCTTGATCTCAGTTATTCCTATAGCCTTACCAATTCCCCTGACTTCTCACAGCTCCCTAATCTTGAGAGACTGATCCTTAAATATTGCATAAATTTGGTTGGGATTCATGAATCAATTGGGGAATTAGGGACCCTTGTTTTGTTGAATCTTGAAGGCTGCAAAAATCTAAGGAAGCTTCCAAAGAAAGTTTTTTTGGTCAAATCCCTTGAACTCATTCTTAGTGGATGCTCAATGCTGGATGGGCGGTCTCCTGACCTGGGCAAGATGGAATCTTTGAAAGTGCTTCGTGCAGATGGAACAAATTGATTACTCACTCGATCATTGGATAGTTTAAACTGTGGTATGAACTTTATTGGCCTTCTTCATCATACTGGTTAGGAAGCATGCATCATGTGAACTGCAAATAATGTTGTCATGCTATCTCAGGGGCTCTTGGTATTCTATCCTTGTTGCAAGATTTGAATCTAAAGGGTTGAGTTGGAATCCATGCCTAACATGGTCTATATATGGAAGTGAAACATTATTGCAGCCAAGTGGTTGAGGCTATTTTTCAACTTAATTGCAGACATGCACTGAAATTATCAAAATTTCTCTTTGGCTGAGTTGGAATCCACAGCAATAGTTGCATCGGAACTGTTCAGTGAAGTAACATGTACAAAAAGAAAGCTCCAGTAAGCGCTCGCTCTCTCTCTCTCTGTCATTATGTTGTCTGTGTTCAGTTAGTAGTTAAAGTTGTCAATTCCATTGCAGAGGAACTGTATCAATCTGATATTTAAGCATATTTCTTCCCAAGGTGGGATTCCCAGCTGGTCAAGAAGAGTAGGGAATCCTCAATGTCTTTTACTGTTCCTTCTCTGCTAATCTGAATGTTTGTGTTTTCTATGTGCAGGTCATGTGAACTGAAGATGTGAACATCTGGCCTTTTGAAGTGTATGAGTGGTACTGATGTAGTTGGGAAGAGCAAAGGACTGCAGTGGATGCATATGCCAACATTCATAGGAAAGATTTTGAATCAGTCAATGGAAGATGATGATGAAGTGGATGTCTCAATGGATGCAGGAGAAGCTTTTCGGGTAAAGGAACTTGGAATTCGTGTTCTTATGTGAGCCTAAAAAGCAATGGCAGCCAACACCACATCAATGATCATTGTCACCAGAATGTCATTGATTTATCAGCATATCGGATGAGGACAGGGGACTACTTCCTATGCAATCACGATTGATTTCATAGGGCTAGACTCTATTACAGGATTTTAGGTATAATGAAAAGTTTAGTTAGTTTTCTTCCTTCAAAATGTATGCTAGGCTTTTACACTTGCTGCAGAACTATGGGTGTAATGGAAGTGTCAGACATTAGTGTAAGAGGAAGGTTTTTGATTGGTGATTTTCAGATACCTGTCTACTATGGTGAGCAAACAAGAAAATTCTTTTTCATTTTTGAGGACATTTTGACCCGCGCATAGATCCTTTTTCAACTCCTTTGAAGAATGGGTATGTACTCCCAGCCATATTGGGGCATATTATGATCATGTTTTGAGAGTGAAGACCAGAAGTTTCAATGTTTGATTCATTTATATTTATTTATTTGTATTTATTTGGTTGTTATATTCCATCTACTAGTTATTTATTTGTTTGCTTATTTGGTATGAACACACTACTATTTATTTTTTTGTTTATTTTGTGGGTGTTTGGGAAGTTTTTAGTAGGCTATTTTAGTAGGTTAAAATTTGTGTTTGGGAAGATGATTGAATTTTTTTGTAGTTGGATGTGATGTTTGTGAGAAAAAAAATGAAATGATTATGGATTTAATGTGACATTTTGTCTTATTAGCTATTTTAGTCTATTTTATCTTTTTGTGAATTTTAGCCTAAATTGGACTAAAATCCCACTTCTTAAACAACCCTTTTGTAGAACAAGAAAAAGAAATGACAAAGAAAGCATCAATGTTAAAGTAAACCAATATTTTGGCAAAATTTTGAATTCAAATAAGTCAGTTGAATTTGAATCAGTCAAAATTTTGATCAAAAGAGTTTGCCCATAATCTTGTCCTAGAGAGCATCCATAAGCTTCAGTCTCAGCCCAAGGTTCTAGGGCCTATGCCCTCTAGGCTTTCTAATTAGAGGAAGTGTAACAGTCCCATTCCACTTCGAAAGTTTGAATAGGCGATCTTGAATATATAAGTAGGATCGATGAATTCAAATAATATCGTCATGACTAATTTTTTGAAGCGAGTCTTGTTTGTTACCCGTTCACATGACCATGTGAGTTATTGTAACTAATTGGGAAAGTTAGCTTGTTTCTAGTATATTGAGAGGTTTAACTTGGAAATTAGGCTGTCTATAGTTTTAATTGTATGTGCAGGTGAATGGTCAGGCTATCTAAATTTTCATATACATTACTTACTGTCGAGAGATGCTTTGACTTTTGGGTGCAGCACTTTGGAGGTATTGAATGGGTTTAGACTTCTTTAGCAGCATGTGGTTGTGGTGTGTGAGTTATTAAGAGTAGAAAAATAAATGGAGCTGTTTTAGGTGTTGCATACCATGTAGTAATAAATGGAGCTGTTTTAGGTGTATCATACCATGCAGTCAACTTAACAGCCCCCCCTCCAAAAAAACACAGCAGCCCTAAAACCATCATAGCCATGTCGGAAGTCACGTCCGAAACCACTTCAACCCCTGCCGCTGCCATTCCGGTGAAAACGTCCAACTCTCACTCTGTCCAAATCACCACCATCCGCCTAAATGGTGATAATTTTTTCCGCTGGTCACAATCTGTCCGGATGTATATCCGTGGGCAAGGAAAGATCGGTTACATCACTGGTGACAAGAAGGCTCCTACTGTTAATGATCCGCTATTCGACAGTTGGGACGCTGAAAACTCCATGGTTATGACATGGTTGGTCAATTCCATGGAGGAGGATATAAGCTCTAATTACATGTGCTATACTACTGCACAAGAATTGTGGAATAATGTTAGTCAGATGTATTCTGACCTAGGAAATCAATCTCAAGTTTTCGAATTAACTTTGAAGTTGGGAGAGATTCGTCAAGGAGATGATTCCATCACCAAATATTTCAATTCGTTGAAAAGGTTATGGCAGGATCTTGACATCTTCAACACATACGAATGGAAATCAGTTGACGACTGCAACCACCACAAGAAAACTGTGGAAGACAGCCGTATTTACAAGTTTCTTGCCGGCCTCAACATTGAGTTCGATGAAGTGCGAGGAAGAATTATTGGCAGACCTCCTCTCCCATCCATTGGCGAAGTATTTGCCGAAGTCAGAAGGAAAGAGAGCCGAAGGAGCGTCATGCTTAAGAAAAAAGATACTGGTGAATCAATTGAAATTTCTGCTTTAATTAGCGATGCTGCGGCCAACAAGGCTGCAAATTACCAGCGCAGGTTTGATGATAAGCCACGGGTCTGGTGTGATTTTTGCAACAAGCCTCGCCATACACGCGAAACGTGTTGGAAGATCCATGGCAAACCTGTCAACTGGAAAAGCAGCAAACAAGGAGAGAAGAATCGTGGCTTTCCTACCGCTAATGAAGCCGATTCAAGCCCCTTCAACAAAGAGCAGATTGATCAACTCTTAAAGCTGATAAAATCCAACTCCTCAACCGGTACTCCTAGTGTTTTGTTGGCACAAACAGGTAGAAATCCTAAAGCCTTCTCTTGCCTAAACTTCTCTCCGTGGATCATAGATTCCGGTGCCTCCGATCACATGACTAGTTTTTCCCATTTATTTAGTACCTATTTCCCTTGTTCCGGTCATGACAAAATCAGAATAGCCGATGGTAGTTTTTCACCTATTGCAGGAAAAGGACTTATTAAACTAACTGAGAAAATTAATCTCAATGCTGTTCTTCACGTCCCCAACTTAGCCTGTAACCTTTTGTCTGTCAGTAAACTATCTAAGGATTCTAATTGTCGTGTTACATTTTTTGAATCCCATTGTGAATTTCAGGACAAGAACTCGGGGATGATGATTGGGCGTGCTAGGATGCTTGAAGGTCTTTACTACTTTGATGAAGTACCTGCTAGTAATAAAAAAGCTCAGAGCTTTAATAGTACCAGTTCAATCTCTGTTCGAGAAAAAATAATGCTATGGCACTATAGGCTAGGACATCCTAGTTTTCTTTATCTGAAACATTTATTTCCAAAATTATTTAAAGGGATTGATTGTTCTTCTTTTCATTGTGAAAGTTGCATTTTTGCAAAATTTCATCGCTCTACTTATTTGCCAAAACCTTACCAGGCTTCAAAACCTTTTTATTTGATTCATAGTGATGTTTGGGGCCCTTCTAAAATCACTACTCTTTCTGGTAAAAGATGGTTTGTTACATTTATTGATGACCATACCCGCTTATGTTGGATTTATTTGATGAATAAAAAATCTGACGTGAAAAATTTATTCACAAATTTTTACAATATGATTGAAAACCAATTTCAAACCAAAATTGATATTTTACATTCTGATAATGGAACAAAATATTTCAATGAGCAGTTGGGTGAGTTTTTGAAAAAAAAGGGAATTTTTCATCAATCTACATGTCGGGATACCCCCTCAACAAAATGGCATTGCAGAACGAAAAAATAAACATCTAATTGAAGTAGCACGTGCTATAATGTTTTACATGCATGTTCATAAATATTTATGGGGTGAAGCAAACTTAACAGCCTCGTATTTGATAAACAGGATGCCTACAAAGGTGGTAACATACAAAACACCTTTTGATTCTCTCAAAACTTTTTTTCCTGACACAAGGTTGTTTTCTGATTTACCAGCCAAAGTTTTTGGATGTACTACCTATGTTCATGTTCCCAGTCAATTTCGTTCAAAACTTGACCCCCATGCTATAAAATGTGTTTTTTTGGGATATTCCTCAAACAAAAAGGGATATAAGTGTTTCAATCCTCAAACCAAGAAATTTCATATGAGTATGGATGTGTCATTTATGGAAACAAAATCCTATTTCCCCAACAATTCTCTTCAGGGGGAGACAAGTGGAATAGAAGACCGTTTTTGGGATATTTCTATCCCACTCCCCAATGTCATTTATCCTACACAAAAACCACATCTATCTGATAATGATCACTTAGGAGAACCAAGTTCTATGGTGCCTAGTCAAGAAGATTCTTGTTTAGGGGGAGAAGTACTACAAAATGATCTAAATCCTGAGCTTCAGGTTTATACTAAGAAGCGATTTCATCTGAGGAATAATGACCCAAGAATGTTCCATCCTAATGACCCGAATGTCCACCCGAGTCTCTGGCATCGAAATTTTAGGTATCCTGATTCCTTCTATTTCGACCTTGATGTTCCTTATAGCCAATTAGGAAAGGTGTCCGAAAATTGCATTAACACCAATCGATCAAGATTTGTAGTCTGCTCCTATCAGAAGACTGTCTAAAAACCATAAGCTTTCACATTAGGATTTCACACTTGTTTGTTCCAAAGGAATATAACAGGCAAAGCATTTGATGATCGAATTGGAATCAGCATCATGGAGTGAGATGATGCTCTAAGGAGAAGTGGTACTTGGGAATAGTTGATCTACCCAAAGACAAGAAAACATTGGGGTGTAAATGGTGTGTTTACAATAAAAGTAACGCAGATGGAAGCGTTGAGAGATACAAGGCGAACTGGTGGGCTAAAGGCCTTCACTCAAACTTAATTGGGATCGACTATCAGGAGACGTTTGCTCCTGTTGGCTAAAAATAAATTTCCATCAGAGTACTGTTTATCTCTTGCAGTAAATTCAGATGGCCTCTACATCAAACTGACACTAAAAATGCATTTTCTCAATGGTGATCTGAGGAGGTTCATAGCCTACTCCCGGTGATTATGGAGACTTGAAGCGACAGACAGAGTATGCAGATTGAACAAGTCATATACGGACTCAAACAATCACCAAGAGCGTGGTTTGCAACGCTTTTGGAGGCAGTTATCAAGTTGTGGCTTCTCGCAGGAGTCAAGCAATCCAACATGTCACCACCCAAATCCGAGCATGACCGGCGTGGCCACAGGACTAGCCAAGGCACACGTAAGCCTAAACACGAATCCAATCACATTAAACAAACTGAAACAAGTAGTCTAATAAAAATACCACAAACTCAATCCAGACATGCCACAATATAAACGGCAAAATCAACCGTAATCAAAAAGCCATCCAACCTTATGGGATATAAACAACCCACATTAAAAATAATCCTAAAGTGAACTTCGATAAGGAATAAATATAAATATGCACAAACTTGAACATAACACTCTAAACTAAAGAATGCCCTAGAGGTCCATGCAATTGAGGTCCCCGCTACGCCATGAGTCCACTCTAAGTCCTTTCTAACACCTGGAAATGCGTTAAACAACTAGTCAGCTGATAGCTCAGTTGAGTAGCAACATGGATAGTAAATACAACTTTTAAAAACAGGGTTTCAATTCCAAAATAAGATATATATTCACAAAACTAGATTGGCATACAGTTTTGGTAAATACCATCTGTTATCAAAAGAAAGGTTCCACAATCAACACTTAAAATACTCATGTCTCGCAAGAACATGATAAACGACATTTTCACTTAACAACAGCTATACATAACATGAAATACCAATAATTTTTGGGTACAATAAAAACAAATAATCTGCCACACAGTTCTTCAAGGCTATAATGCCCCGTTGGATCCAATACCGAACTAAGAGTCATCCTCAGGGTGGCACCTTGGGCCTTCTCTCAACGAACGATCCGACTTGAAGGTCCACCTAGTTGTTTTTAAAGGTCTAGATTCCTTACACAATCGTCTGAGCACTAGAAGTCATCACGGCCCAACCCGGCATCTGTTCCCTAGTGGCCCAGAGTCACCACACACAGTGGAATAATTTCCCTGGACTAAATACACACATTGTCCCATAATCAATACACATCAGTTTCGCAAAACATGGTAGTTCATTCATTTATAAACATGAGACCAAAACAAATAGTTTACAGTATGCCAAGTTCACACATGTTTCAGAAACAATTTGATTCAAGTTGATAAATATAATAAATTATCAAAACAGTTTAGTTCTTGCAACAAAATTTAATTTTCCAACAGTTCAGTAGGTGGGAAATTCTATAAAAAATACGTAGCATGAAACTACTCACCGGAACGAAAATAATGTAATTCCTCGAATAGAGTATGAAAGTCCACTAGTTGCCCTGAACCAATATGGAAAACTACACTCACTGCTATTTTAAAAATAACTAAAGATACGAACTGAGTAAACCCCAAACTAAGCGCACAACACGGCTCAACCCAACTCACCCGATTTACTCTTAAAATACTTACCTTAAGTTACATATTCTTCAAGGTTTAAAATCACCCAGACATAGATTCGAATCAAACTTAACTTAAAATAACTTAAGATGAACAGTGTTTAAACAAGTTTTCCCAAATCTATTCGCTACTTGAAAATTAAAAAAACCCACTCCACGCTATTTCAAAAAAATTTCCAATAAACCTCCAGATATGATCTAATATATCCTAAGTTTTCAAACCCAATTGGTTTTCACTTTGATTTCTTCTTATCAAAATAATTATCTACAATTTATGATATCCAAAACGGGTTGTTTTTCTGCAGCACTTAAGAATTACGTTCTCTTAATATTACCCGGCACATCATTGCAAGGCCAAAAAACGTACCCGAAAAACTAGACTCATAACCGGCTTCTAATTGGACACTAATTTGATAATTTTTGGATTATACCCAAAGAGAACAACAATCCGAATTTACTCGTTTGACTGGTTTCCTGGAACAGATTGAATACCTCAATTATATGGATTAATCGACTCCCAAAACAATTATGAAAAAATTCAGATATGCAATTCAATGTGTAGATTATCTACTGTAAAAAATTTCAGATTAAAATTCATCCGTTTGATCATGGTTTCTTGATTTTAAAATCTGTGGACTGTGTACAGAATTTTTGCGACTGAAAATTACACCCAACTTCTACACATAAATTTAGCTCCTCAAGTTTCTTAATAGGATTATCTATATACACAATACATTAAACTCTTACAACCTCTCCATCAAGAACAAAATAATTATAAATTTAAGGATGAAGAACAAAAAGAAGAGAAGAAAACCCCAAGGAGGGCTAACCTATGATGATCACACACAACACAACACACCCAAAAGTTCTTTGATTGCAACATCTTCTTCTCTTTTTCCTTCTCTCTAACCCTCTCCGTTGGCTGCTGTTGTTGCACTATGTGCGGAACAAATAATAGAGTAGGGTTTGTGTTATTTTATTTTAGACTAGGGTGGGCACACATAGGTCCAAATAAATAAATAAAATATACAAAATATATGTATAAGTTACAGCAACTCAAATGGATAGGAGTGCTAACTTATTAATTTTGTGGTCTAGAGTTCAAGTCACCACCCTCTTCTCTATTTTATTTTTATTTTATAATAAAAACATTGTCTCTAAATTAACAGACTTTCACCCATAATTTTATTTTAGGTTTAAATAATTAATTAAAAGATCCTCCAAAATATTTAATTTGCACCTCTAGAATTCACCACCAAAATATTGAGATTGTAATATCTATTATTTAATTATTACTTAATTTTTAATATTCCGGGTTTCTCACATCAACAATCATCTTTATAACATATCAAAAACAACAGTAAAATTGCAATTTGATTGTTTATGTTTGATGACATCATTTTAACTGGTAATGATGAAGCAGATGTTAGCAGCCCTCAAAGAAAGAAACTCGCAAAAGAATTTAATTAGGATCTGGGACGCCTCAAGTATTTCCTCCGAATGGAATTTGCAATGATCCAAGGAAGGTATAATTCGTTAATCAGAGAAAATAATGTTCTTGTCTCCTTGAGAAACAGGTATGCTTGGTGTAAGATGTGGAGACCATCCGATCGAGGCCTAACTTTGAAGTTACAGCTGGCTAAGGCCTTGAAGAAGCTCAAAAGAGAGGAACAATATCAGCCGACTTTAGGGGAAATTGATTTACTTGTCTCATACGCGACCTTTGATATTGCCTTTGCAGTCAGCATGGTAAGTCAGTTCATGCACTCACCAGGGGCCAGAGCACTTTGAGGCCGTTTATAAAGATCTTAAGATATTTGAAGGAACTCCAGGGAGAGGTATACTGTTCAAGAAACAATGGGCATCTTCTTCAGTTGAAGTATACACAGATGCCAGACTGGGCAGGAAAGTGATTACAGACA